CTCGGTCGTACGACAGGCGCTGCACACCGCACCTACTATCGGGTGGGAGGTTGATGCGACGAGCCACGTCGAGGCATTACATGCGCATCTTCAGACTTTTGTCTCGGCTAATTTGCCCTCTGTGCCAGCGCCGCCAAGACACCCGGCCCTCACAGAAGCCACCCTTGAAGAAGTTCAACGCAGGCGACTGCAACGCCTGCGCCTCCGGGCGCTTAGCCAGCAGGAGCGCAAAGCGGCACTTCTGTGTGTTTTCCGCGCTTGGCAAGGCCACCGCCCTCCGGTGGAACAATTCAGGCGGATATCAGCGCAGGTCCAGATGACGCGGCTGGGGCAGCTGCGGTCAGTTTGGGATGCGCTTGCCGCATCAAGGGGCTGCCCGTCTTCCCCTTCAAAGTCACGTCTCATACTGGTTGTGCCTTCAATGAACTTGCGGATGCCGTTGCAAAGTCTGCCGCTCTAGGCTCCGCATATCCAGCACTGGCTTTCATGCCGGACTGCTTCTGGCAAGGAGTGCACGAAGGCCACGTTGACTGGCTATGGGCTTGCTCTTGTCGGGCACTGGCTGCTTCCATGCCCTCATTGACTGCCGATGGCACTTGGACCAGAGCGGCTTGTTTGATGCCACCCTGTCAGCTGCCCAGCACGGGCTACTTTGACCCAGAGCCTGGGGCCAATGCCGCAGAACAAGATGTTGACGTCCTGTTTTTGCAGTACAACTGCCTGTCCCTCAAAGGCCAAGCGGCGAAGGAAATCATGGCCAGGGGGCTTGATGCACTCAAATGCCACGCTGCCGGACTCCAAGAGACAAGAACCCATGAGACAGGCGTCAGTGCAAGTGGCAAATACTGGGTCTTAAGTTCGCCGGCCACATGTGAAGGCATCGGAGGATGCCAGCTTTGGCTGCACCGTTCCCAGGCGGTGAGCCACTCTGCGCAGCGACGACAACCGGCATTTTGGGACAGGGATAGCTTCTCCATCATCTGGGCCGAGCCGCAGCTCTTGGTTGCACTTGCGCACGCTGGCGGAGTCAAGTTCTGCCTGGTCAGCGGACATGCACCCGTGGCGGCTGCCCCGCCCGATGTTCGCATGAAATGGTGGCGCTCTTTAGCACAAGCGCTGCGCCTCCCACCGCGGGGCTACGTGCCCATCCTTTTCCTTGATGCTAATGCCCGCTTTGAAAGCTCGTCGCTAGAGCCTGCTACCACCAGCTCACAACCACGATGCCCAAATGCGCGGGAACTGCTGGATCTGGCAGCTGAATTCCGCCTGGAAGTGACCCACCAGTTTTCCCATTCAGGGAAACGCTTAACTTCCTGGCACAGCCCTCAGGGTCGCAAAGGGCTCATCGATTACATCCTCTATGATGCCACCTTCGCTGCGGCCACGCGGACAGAGGATACGCCTGACCTTAAGGACCTCCGCGCGGGTGTTGACCACAGCCCTGTGGCAGCAACCTTCAAGGCCAGGGTGATGGGCGCTGCAAACAAGCCCAAGCTGCGGATCTGTCAGCAAGCAGTACGTACGGAATACGGCCTCTCGGTCGTACGACAGGCGCTGCACACCGCACCTACTATCGGGTGGGAGGTTGATGCGACGAGCCACGTCGAGGCATTACATGCGCATCTTCAGACTTTTGTCTCGGCTAATTTGCCCTCTGTGCCAGCGCCGCCAAGACACCCGGCCCTCACAGAAGCCACCCTTGAAGAAGTTCAACGCAGGCGACTGCAACGCCTGCGCCTCCGGGCGCTTAGCCAGCAGGAGCGCAAAGCGGCACTTCTGTGTGTTTTCCGCGCTTGGCAAGGCCACCGCCCTCCGGTGGAACAATTCAGGCGGATATCAGCGCAGGTCGCAGACAATGTCATTGAACTCCACTGGCTGAACCGGCGTGTGCGGTACTGCTTCCAGGCGGACAAGGCGCAATTCATCCGCACTCAAACCGCCACGGCCCGAGAGGCGGGTCCGGCCGCCTTCGCACACTTGATCCGAGCTGTGACACGCCAGGGCAGGAGGTTCAAGGTGCCCAAGGTTGTCCCACTGCTGCAGACTCCGACAGGGCCAGCAGTAGGGCGAGTCGAAGTTACCAAGCAGCTTGGCCAGCATTTTGCCAGGCCTGAGCGCGCCAGCTCGGTAACGCCTGACGACCTGCGTCGGACGGCAACTGCAGTGCAACCTTTTGACAAGGTGCTCGACGCGCAACAATGCCCAACACTCGCCGATCTGGTGCGGGGTTTCAAGGCACTCCAGGCAGGCAGAGCGTGTGGGCGCTCAGGAGTGCCGGCTGAAGCATATCAGGCCGATCCGGTACAAGCGGGAATTCTTTTCCTGCCTGTGATGCTCAAAATTGCGGCTAGGGGCACCAGCCCACTGCAGTGGTGCGGGGGTAACATGCACTCCATCCCCAAACCCAATAAAGATGCTTCCACGCCCGGAGGGTGGCGCTCGATCCTCTTGTTGGAGGCTGATACAAAGGCATACCAAAAAGCCCTACGACCGAAGCTCATTGAAAAGCTAGAACATGTCAGGGCTTCAGGACAGGTGGGGGGACTGCCACGCCGCACCCTGTCACAACCCTCGGCCTTCGTGAGGAGTCACCTGCTCTGGCTGCAAGCCAGCGGCCTCAGCGGAGGAGTCCTCTTTTTGGACTGCAAGGATGCATACTACTCCGTGGTCAGAGACCTCCTGACCAGGGGAGAGTGTTGCAGCCTTAGCGCTGAACAGCTGCGGAGTCGAGCCGCCCTTCTTTTCGTCCATCGCAAAGATCAGGATGCCTTTGTTGAGGAAATGCTTCGTGGGGACTGGGCAGAGGCCCTAGGCCTCCCCACGGAGCTCCACCGTTTGCTGAAGGCGCAACTGCATAGGACATGGTTTGCGGATGGCAGTCCTGGATTCACGCTCTACGCGACGGAGTCCGGATCCGCTCCTGGCGCGCCGATTGCAGACACCATTTTTGCCTTCCTCTTCAGCCGCTTCCTTCATGACGTGCAGGCCACCCTGCGTGACAGAGGACTCTCGTCACACCTGATACAGGGCTTTGAGCCTAAGCAGTGCACTGAGGCCCCGACCTGGGCGGACGATGTTGCCATTCTTTTCCAGGCAGCACAGGCAGATGCTGTAGCGCCGGCCCTTAGCGCAGTCGGCGCCCTGGCTATTTTTGGGCTCTCTGCATTGGGGCTTGAAGCCAACCTCGCCCCGGGGAAGACAGAGGCCCTTGTTGCACTGCGCGGCAATGGATCCAGGGCGGCACGGCAGCAACTCCTTTGCAGCGAAGTACCTGCCGTAGGGGTTCAGCTGCCCAGTGGCCATTTGGGCTTGCTGCGTGTAGTCAAGGAGTATACACACTTGGGCAGTGTCACTACTTCTGATTGCAGCGAGCTAGCCAACATCAAGCACCGTGCAGGCCTAGTGCAGCAGGCCTTTCAGGTCTACAGGGCTCGCATTTTGCACAACCCCTGCCTCACCTTTGCCGAGAAACGGGAGCTGGTCTTGTCCAGGCTCGTTCCCAAGTATCTGCATGGCGCAGGGCTTTGGCGACTGCAGACGAGCCAGGAGCGCTCCTCCGCTGTCGCACCGCTGATGGGCATCTTCCGTGGCTGCATCCGCCCATTTTACAAGCGCAGTTCAGAACGGATGACGAACGCAGAGGTACTGTCCGCTCTGAAAGTAGCGAGCCCAGAAGAGTTTTTGCATTCTGCAAGGACCCGAGCTCTCGGAGAGATCACGGAAGAGGGCATGGAACCAACCTGGCCCGGCTTGGAGGCCGACGGGGTATGGCTGGTGGACGCGAGGACGTCACTCTTCGAGGTCGCCTCCGTGCACAAGCCCTTGGAGGCCCTGGTTCGACAGCTGCCGGCCACAGCCGATTTGGCGACGCTCGCAGATGTCCTGCGGGGAAAGCGGCCTTTGCTGCGTGTGGCTAGCCGCTTCTACCTGCGCAAATGTGGTCTACGGAGGCCTGACGTTTGCTGGGAGGAAGTGGACAAGCGAGTGGGGTCCGGTGTGGCAGTTGCTATTGTGAAGACCCAGGACTCCCGGCTCACGCACACTTGCGGCCTTTGTAATCGCAGTTTCCTGTCGAAGAGGCGCTTGTCGGTCCACCGAGCTACAACACACAGGCTGTACTCGGCAGGACGACGTGTATGCTTTGGGACCCGTTGCGAAGTCTGCTGTACAGAATTTTGGACAGGAGCTCGTTTGGCAGAGCATTTGCGCAAGCAGCCGAAGTGCAGAGCCACCTACGCTGGCTCGGACATGGCGCCTGACGCAATTAATGACAAAGGCAAAGCCTGGAAACCAGCTGTCGTGGCGCAGGGGCCACGCCCCTGGTGGGCCACACTTTTGCCTCCACAAGAGTCCGCGGGCTAGGGCATTGTATAGGAGCTCTCGAACCCGACTCCTTCAATTTTGGCCGTTAGGCTCTGACCTGGCCTCAGGCCTGCTGTTTTGCAAGAGAATTTATCGCGCGCTTTACAGCCCAAGCAAGTCCGCTTAAAAACCCTCAACCCTAACCCAACACCAAGAGGCAGGAGGATGAAGGCCTGGCTCCACCAGTAGGCCGCCTCCATGGAGCCATTCAGCAGGTCTTCGGGGCACGTCTGCCTGCCGAACCTCCGGGAGGGCCGAGCACCCTAGACCCAAAAAAGGGGTTCACCTTTATGTAAATATATATATATATATATATACATACATCTATACACATATATATATGTATATACTAGGATTCTATAGAACCCAAAAAGGCTAACCGTTTATAGAACGTAGGACTCTATATAATTCCAAAAAGGGAAAAGGTTTCCTGCCCGGTCCCCAAGGAACCCCGGCTCGGGGGTTCTGGTCAGGTCCCTGTACAACAAGGACACGGAGGAGCCGACGAAGAAGCTCACCCCGAACCAGTGGGATCGATGGAAGCACCAGATGAGCCTAGACTGAACTTCAAGAACCCTAGCAGGAATTAGAGAACTTTCGCTGCTTCTTCGGAATTGAAGTGCCCAAAAACTTCTCAGTTAAAAAAAGGAATTCCACATATCCCGAAGGAGCCCCGTGAATGACATGAGGATCCAGGCGTACTGGAACCCATCCCAGCCGTTTCGGTCTCGCGAGCTCGGGCCGGAGATGGCGTACAAGAGGGAGTCCACAAGGTATCCCAGGGCACCACAGGCAAAGAAAACCACTGAATCCCACACCTTGGGCAAGAAGAACGGAGGGGTTCACCTTCCCCCTAACCCTAAGGCCTTAAGGCCTACAGCAAACCCCAACACGTTATCCAAATCCGATTGCACGCCGGGGAGCCGAATTGCAAGACGAGAGCTCCGCGTGGAAATGCGCGAGCTCGGCATCAAGTCGAGTGTATCGGCCGTGATGCTCCTGAAGATCAGGTCTGGACACACAATCATGTACCTTCGACTACCGAACCCAGGCACTGCCAAGCAAACTTTCAGCCGTGTCTGCGCGTCCGTGTCTTCCTGCCGCTCTGTCTGCACGGCCTGCCCCAGCCACGACATCACCAAGCGGCTTCCATAACTTGGCAACAGTCATGCACCCAGACCCCTTGGGAGGATCCATGAAGTAGAGGTCCCCTTCAAGCTTCCTACAACCCAATTGTAGTATGGGTACTATTTGGGGGGTTCTACTTTTTTGGATGCTCCCAGGCCAGGGGTGTGGGCATCTGGCCCTAAACCTTAAACCCTAAATCCTACACCCTAACCCTAAACCCTCCCTCAACCCTCAACCCTCAACCGTAAACCCTCAACCCTGGGCCCTCAACCCTCAACCCTAAACCCTGGCGGGTCCACAACAGACCCGCGCAAAACTGTGGCCCCACCAGCAAACCTGAGATGCAGGACTTAGGTCACAGCCTTTAGTGTTGAGAAATGACGTCTTTCTGCTCCCCAGTGCGCCTAAAAGCAAGAACTTCCAGCCAGTTCTGCCCAGGAGAAGGTTTAACCTTCTCTGTAGACCATGGACGTCATCATGCTTGGGCCATGGCAGTGCAGAAAACATGTAGACCATGGACGTCATCATGCTTGGGCCATGAATGCTCTCTTCTCATCAGAACAGAGTAGACCATGGACGTCATCATGCTTTGGCCATGGATGCTCTCTTCCCAGAACGGACTAGACTATGGACGTCATCATGGTTGGGCCATGGATGCTCTCTTCTAACTATGGTGAAGCAAACGTGTTAGTTAAAACCAGGGCTGGGCAGAAGCGGATGCAAGCAAGACAGGGCTTAGTTTAGGACACGTCGAAAGTGCGAAGTAGTGCAAAAAAACCCACAAATACCAGTGTAGTCTACGGATGCTCAAAAACTTGCAGGATGATTTTAGACAAAAACTGCGGGGATGAGGTGATGGGCGAAACGCAGGAAACATCGGTATTTACAGTGGATTCTGAGGGCAACAGAGCTAAACTGCCGAAAAAAGCGTGGGTCTGTTATGGCCCCGCCTAGCCCTAAACCCTAAACGCGACCAACCCTGCCTGATGCGCCTGTCGGCAGCTTGCTCGGGGGAGCTTCTCGTTGGAAGCAGTGCCGGCCGCTGCATCCCTTGCCTAACGAAGGGGTTTGGGTTTAGGGTTTAGGGTTTAGGGTTTAGGGTTTAGGGTTTAGGGTTTAGGGTAGAGTGGCTTTCAAATCGGATTGACCTACAGAACCTTAGATACAGAACATGAAGTGCAGCACCAGGGCAACATGCTAAAGAGGGTTTAGGATGTACGGTTTAGGGTTGAGGGTTGAGGGGTTAGGGTTTAAAAGTTTAGGGTTTAGGGTTTGAAGCCCCCAAACCCAGTCGCGAAGCCCAGAAGTGCGGGTGAAGGCCTTGTAGGCAAACTGCAAAGCACGTGGTGACTCGTGTTGCTTAGCGACACCCTACACCTACACCCTAAACCCTAAACCCTAAACCCTAAACCCTAAACCCTAAACCCTAAACAGCGAGCCGTCCCTCTCAACGGGTGAAGGAGGCGTTGCTTCCGACGTGAAGGCGGATTTACATGGCCGTTACGCCCTGGGCGGCATCGTGTTGGTGTCGGTTTTCTCTCCGAGCCGGTCGGGTGGAGCTTTCCGAAGTTTTTTGGAGCAACACGCGAGCTACTTTTGGATACCGATGCGCTATCTGCCTGCCATCCGCCGTTCCTGAGCTTGCACAGCTTGCACAAGCCTAAGCCGCATCAACGTGCATCTCTCTTTGCGGCTGCGGGGATGCTGCTTTTGGGACAGCAAATTGGCGTTGTTGGAGACACCCTGCCGTGGAACATGAGTCGTGGTGCATCCTGACCCTAAACCCTAAACCCTAAACCCTAAATGTCATTCCTCTCATTCCTTCCCTGTCTGGCTGGAATCAGGAGCCCTGCGTGCCGCCCAGACACGCCGCGTGTCTTCTGCATTTTTCGGTTCGTAAAGGCTCAATGGAGTAGTTCGCAAGGTTTGGGCTCGGGAGTTCTGAGTTGGTTGAAGCAGTTCCACCAGAACAAGAACCCTCCCACGGTCAGTGACCTAGCCTTGCAAGAGTTTGGGTTCACGGCTCGGGCTTCTGAACCAAGACTGTGACCCTAAACCCTAACCCTAAACCCTAAACCCGAAACCCTAAACCCTAAACCCTAAACCCTGACGGCTACTTCAGGAACCTTTTGACCTAACGAGGTGAACTTGGCATGCATCTAGGGCGCCGCTCGGTCAACGAATGCTTCTCCTGAAGACGCAGCCATCTTTCGCTCAGCCGAGCTGCATGGCAAAAACGGCCACTAAACGATGGATTCGACTCGACCCAAAACCTCCAGAAATGGGTTTGAACCAGGGATGTACAGACTGGCATCAAGGCCGGCAACCCATGAAATCGTCCGGGTTTTACAGTCCAATCGGACACCTGCAGTCGGTCCCAAGTCACCTCCCCCGAGGTTCTTGATAGGGAATGGTACCGACATACTGCCTGAAAGGGCAGTTTAGGGTTTAGGATTTAGGGTTTAGGGTTTAGGGTTTAGGGTTTAGGGTTTAGGGTTTAGGGTTTAGGGTTTAGGGTTTAGGGTACCTCATTCCCTACTAAGAACCAGCAAGTCACCCGCAAACATCAGGAACATCTGTTGCAAGGCGCTTCCAAAAGCAAGCCCCATGCTCCCCGAAAGTAAACGCTAACCCCTAAACGCTAAACCCTAAACGCTAAGCCCTAAACCCTAAACCCTAAACCCTAAACCCTACAGAGGCAGACACGCCAGCAAAAAGCGCGTGGCAACGCCGCCAGCATCTCTGGGCATCAAAGCGGGGTTCAGGGTTTAGGGTTTAGGGTTTAGGGTTTAGGGTTTAGGGTTTAGGGTTTAGGGTTTAGGATTTAGAGTTTAGGGTTTAGGGTTTAGGGTTTAGGGTTTAGGTTCTAGGGTTTAGGGTTTAGGGTTCAGCGTCTCAAGTCCGAGCATTCACTAGTCGGGCAGCTTGTCAAGCGTTAGAAAAAAACCCACCCACACAAGAAACCCATAACAGTGAGAAAATACAAAAGTTCACTTAATACATTCCCAGTAAGCTTAAAGCTCAAAATCCAGCGGACCCAAAACCCAAGCCTAAACCCCATGACCCTAAACCCTTGAGACCCTGAAGCCTTGAGACCCTAAACCCTTGAGACCTTGAGGCCTTGAAACCCTAAACCCCGGCCTTGAGGCCTTGAAACCCTAAACCGCAGCCTTCAGGCCTTGAAAAACCCTACACCCCGGCCTTGAGGCGCTGAAACCCTAAACCCCGGAAGGGGGGGGGGGGGAGGGAGGGGGGGCGCCCACGAAGCAGGCAAAAACGCCCACGAACCAGGCAAAAACGCCCACGAACCAGGCAAATGCCCACGAAGCAGGCAAAAATGCCCACGAATTAGGCAATTTTGCCGCCCACTGGGGTCAATAAGGTTTATATTCATATAGAAAGAGAGGTTTAGGGTTTAGGGTTTAGGGTTTGGGGTTTAGGGTTTGGGGTTTGGGGTTTAGGGTTTAGGGTGATGAAAGGTGTGGAATGAGACGCACCCGTGGCTTTGGCTTTTGTGGTTCCAGGACATGCCGTAGGCATCGGAACATAAGCAGAAGCAGCACAGACATGCAGGCAACAGGTCGCATGTGACTTTCTGTGGCGTGTTGTGGGGTCGCCCTTTCTGTGGTAGGGTAGGACCGCCTGACAACTGGCCGATGGACTTCGGTGCTGCAGTGTGAGGAAAAGGGAGCCTCTGGTGGTGAAGCTGTGTTCGTACAAGGAGTACAAGCCGAGCCAGAGCCAAGCACAAGACACCAAGCTGCCATGTCGTTTGCTGGACCTCAAGAGCCCCGCGCTCTTGAGGTTACGAGCCCAAGCGGCCTGGGCGCAACCGCTGGATTATTGAGTTCCCCTACGCTGGTTGGTGAGACAGCTGGGCCGAACTACGGATCTTTGACAGTTGGTGCTGGTACAGATGGTGCTGGTGCAAATGGGACTGGTGCAGTTGTTGTGGGACCGGTTCAGGGTGGAGACCTGAGTACACCTGCTGTTGCCGATGGGCAGACAAATAGTGGTGTGCTGGGCAGTGGAGACCCTGGTGTTACTGGTGGCCTGGAGATGGAGCAGGTCAATGACAACTGGCCAGTGGTGGAGCAACATAGGGTTTTGGAGTCCAGCAATGGTGGCTTGGAGACTGCAGTGGCAGCCGAAGGATTTGGTGCAGTGCAGATGGTGCAGACCGCCATGGAAGGCACTGCGAATGCTGGTTCGCCGACAGCTGCGTCGCGTACAACTGGGCTGGAGATGAGGTATGTCCAGACTGGAACGGGCGCATATGGATGGATGACAAGGCTGACAGACTTTCTGCGAGCGACGACGACTGGTGGTGGTGGTTTAGGGGATAGGATGTTAGGGTCTTTAGGACTAACACCCAATCAGGCCCCGGGAACGCCCCGCAGCCACAGCAGCAGAGCAGCAGCCGTAGCAGCAACACCGCAGTCGGCAGGCAATCGCCTTGGAATTTCTCCCCGCCGGAAGAGCTCCAGGTGATGACCCAGCACGTGGAAGGTGGGGGTCACTCCGCGTTGTTTGACCAGAGGGCGGTGGAGAGAATGAACAGTTGGCCTTCTCGTGGACCTCTACTTCATGGAGAACAAACGTCGCAAGGGTCTACGGGGTCGTCAGAAATTCGGGTTGAAGTGCAACGTCAGCTGGGACAGTACATGAGGGATCGCAGAGACCAGGTGCAGACCGAGGTGGTGGCTTTGCGACGACAGGTACAAGAGCTGATGAATGCTGGTTTTGGGAGACAGTCTGGGGGCGAGGCCGAGCAGGAAGTTGGTCGAGTTCCAGGAGGTCCTCAGGTGCCAGGGGATGATCCACTTCACGGAGTACCTCATGGAGGAGGTAGCTCACTTCACGGGACATCTCGAGCACAAGGTGGTCTTTCTGGAGCTGGCGTTCCTCAAGTTCCTCAAGGTCCTCAGCTACATGGCGTTTCGGGAGGTCTACAAGGTCCTCAGCTTCTTGGTGGTTTGGGAGGTCCTCCTCAGCTACCTGGTGTTTCGGGAGGTCTACAAGGTCCTCAGCTTCCTGGTGGTTCGGGAGGTCCACAAGGTCCTCAGCTACCTGGTGTTTCGGGAGGTCTACAAGGGCCTCAGCTACATGGTGGTTCGGGAGGTCTACAAGGTCCTCAGCTACCTGGCGTTTCGGGAGGTCCACGTGGTCCACATGGTCCTCAGCTACCTGGCGTTCCTCAAGTTCCACAAGGTTTTCAGCTACCTGGAGGGCACCAGCAGATTGGAAGTGGTGGTGTGTCGGGAGTTGGCCAAGTTCCTGGAGCTCCTCAAGCACCTGGAGGTCCTCAAGCGTATGGAGGTGGACCGCAAAGTGCAGGGGAGTTGCCGAGGAGTGCAACTCGTGGCCCGAACCAGTCGGCTGGTTCTGGGGCTGGAAATGTGGGCGGTTCCTCGTTTGGTGGAGGGATCGGAGATCAGCCGGGACTGGTTGGAATGCTGGCCGCAGGTATCCAGCAGCTCCAGCAGGCGCAGCTGAACATGATGAACCAGAAGGTGGGTCAGCCGGAGCAGGTGAAGCCTGGGATTGCAGCTTTGCCGGCATTGGATCCTCCTGGCGCTGAGGATAGCCCGGTCGTCATTCAAGACTGGATGGAGCTGATTGACGGGCCGATGCGAGACCTCAGTGATGGAAGTGGTGCTTGGTGGGAGGCCGTCAAGAGTGAGGTCTCGTTGCACTACGCGAAGTGGGTGGCAAGTACGCCCTACCAGAGGTTGGCTATGCAAGGGCCCTCTGGAATGGATTTGGACGACGGGCGGTACGCTCGTGTCAATGCCCGAGCTGCTGGAATGTTGCTGGCAGCGTTGGCACCGGAAGTCCGGAGGGACTTGGTGGCGAGGCAGTGTACTCGCAGTGCGGTGAAGATCGTCTACCGGCTGTATGTTCAGTACTGCCCGGGGGGCGAGTCCGAGAAGCTGCACCTCCTGAAGTCGTTGACGGAGACTACCAAGGCGGCAGATGCAGAGCAGGCAGTGCGGGCCTTGCGTCAGTGGGAGAGATGGATGCAGCGAGCTCAAGGTATCGCTGTCACTTGCCCAGATCCGATGATCTTGGCTAGAGGGCTGTCGGTGATCGTGGCGGGCGTGCTGCAGAAGAATGCAGACGCTGCATTTAGGACATCCCTGGTCAAGAACACGTTGATGGTCGACACGTCGCCTACGTTGGCCACCGTCATGCAGTACCAGCAGCATCTCAAGGCGGAGATGGAGACGCTGGCGGGTGTGATGGTGATGGGAAGTAGTCGTGGTGCAGAGCCCAAGGCCAAGCCTATGCAGGTTGAGGATGGGGCTACAGACCGCGACAAGGACAAGGATCGGGACAAGGGCAAGGGCAAGGAAAGAGAGCGAGACAAAGGAAAGGGCAAAGGAAAAGAAGCCTTTGGAAAAGGAAAGGACGGCGAGCAGAAGATCTGTCCGTGGTTCGCCAAAAGTCCTGAAGGATGTCGCCGAGGGAAAACGTGTCGCTTCAAGCACTCCTTCGAAGGGATCTCCAAGCGTGGGCGTTGCCTTGAATGTGGAGGTGAAGGACACATAGCGGCGGATTGTCCGACGAAGGCCTTGGCGTCGAGACCTTCGAGTTCTACAGGTGGAAAGGGCGGTGGTGGAGGCCACAGCCAACCGAGCCGGGCGAAGGAGGAGCCTGCGGCCAGAAGCATGGTGTCGGAACCGGAGCCACAGCCGACATCACCGGTGTCCACGACAACCTCAGCGTCGAGTCCCAACCCTGAGCTCCAGTCTGCGATGACTGATGCAGTGCAAGCTCTGAGGTCTTTGGTGGGAGAAGGAGCTGGAGGAGGACATCCAGGATTGGCATCGATCCAGAGGCAGCTGGATGAGCTTCGGTTGAGAGCCTTGAGGGTTGAAGACGTGGTGGTGCGACCTCGTGACGGAGATCCTCGGATGTTCAAGGCAGAATTGGATGTGCCAACGGTGCTCATTGACTCTGGGGCTACGAACATTCTTCGTCAACCTCGAGATCCTCATGAGCTTCATGATGCAAACCAGGTGAGTGTGGTGCTGGCCAATAACGAGAGGACTCAGCTCTACCAGACGCCAGCTGGATCTATACTCACACCGTCTACAACGACTCAGCCTTTGTTGCCCATGGGAGACCTCGTTCGTGCTGGTTGCGAGATATCTTGGGGACGAAAGGGCTTGAAGATTGTGCACCCAACACTTGGGGTGCTGCG